CTCAAAAAATATATATTCCGCAGGTTAGGAAAGGCACAAAAAGGTATAGGAAAAAGCCTGCATGGTTAACAAACAGAGTAATGGAAGCTGTAAAAAGTAAAAAGAATTCCTTTAAACAGTGGAAAGCTAGTCACAGTGAGGCTGATAAAACGGAACACAGGCTATGGCAAATAAAATGCAAGTCTGAGGTCAGGCAGGCAAAAAGGGAATATGAGGAGCATATAGCAAAAAACGTAAAAACCAACAATAAAACTTTCTTCAAATACATTAGAAACAGGAAACCAGCCAGGGAGGCAGTGGGGCCCTTGGACGACCAAGGGGTAAAAGGAGTATTGAAGGATGATAGGGAAATGGCTGAGAAGCTAAATGCATTTTTTGCCTCCGTCTTCACTGTGGAAGATGAGAAGTGCTTGCCCACTCCAGAACCACTGATTTCAGGAGGGGTGTTGAAAGACCTGAGTCAGATTGAGGTGACGAGAGAGGAGGTCCTAAAACTGATAGACAACTTAAAAACTGAAAAATCACCAGGCCCAGATGGCATACATCCGAGAGTTCTGAAAGAACTCAAATGTGAACTTGTAGATCTCCTGACAAAGATATGTAATCTTTCCTTAAAATCTGCCTCCATTCCTGAGGATTGGAAGGTAGCTAATGTCACTCCCATCTTTAAAAAGGGTTCCAGAGGAGATCCGGGAAATTACAGGCCAGTCAGTCTGACGTCGATACCGGGTAAATTGGTGGAAACCATTATTAAGGAAAGAATTAGTAGGCACATAGATGAACAAAACCTATTGAGGCAGACTCAGCACGGTTTCTGTAAGGGAAGATCTTGTCTCACTAACCTGTTAGTGTTCTTTGAGGGGGTGAACAAACATGTGGACAAGGGGGATCCAATAGATATTATTTACCTTGACTTCCAGAAAGCTTTTGATAAAGTTCCTCATCAAAGGCTCCTAAGTAAGCTCAAAAATCATGGGATAGAAGGACAAGTCCTTTTATGGATCAAAAACTGGCTAGTTCATAGAAAACAGAGAGTGAGTGTAGGTGGGCAATTTTCTCAGTGGAGGGTGGTAAGCAGTGGGGTACCGCAGGGATCAGTACTTGGTCCACTGCTTTTTAACTTGTTCATTAATGATTTGGAGATGGGAGTAAGCAGTGAAGTGGCTAAATTTGCGGATGATACAAAGTTGTTCAGGGTGGTGAAAACCAGTGAGGATTGTGAGGCACTCCAAGGGGATCTGTCAAGGATGGGCGAGTGGGCGTCAACATGGCAAATGGGGTTCAATGTGGCCAAGTGCAAGGTGATGCACATTGGAGCCAAAAATCCTAAATATAAATACACATTGATGGGGTCTGAACTGGCAGAGACTGAGCAAGAGAGAGATCTTGGAGTTGTAGTGGATAACTCACTGAAAATGTCGAGACAGTGTGTGACTGCAATAAAGAAGGCCAATGCTATGCTGGGGATTATTAGGAAGGGTATTGAAAACAGATCAGCCAATATAATAATGCCCCTATATAAATCAATGGTGAGACCTCATTTGGAATACTGTGTGCAGTTCTGGGCACCACACCTTAAAAAGGATATTATAGCTTTGGAAAAAGTGCAGAAAAGGGCAACTCGAATGATAAAAGGGTTGGAACACTTTCCCTATGAGGAAAGGTTAAAGCGCTTAGGGCTCTTTAGCTTGGAGAAAAGACGACTGAGGGGTGACATGATCGAGGTTTATAAGATTATGCATGGGAAAGAGCAGGTAAAGAAAGAGGTACTTTTCTCCCTTTCTCACAATACAAGAACTCGTGGGCACTCCATGAAACTGCAGAGCGGTCGGGTTAGAACGGATAAAAGGAAGTACTTCTTCACCCAAAGAGTGATTAACACATGGAATTCACTGCCACAGGAAGTGGTGGGTGCTACAAGCATGGACGGCTTCAAAAGGGAATTAGATAAGCATATGGAGCAGAGGTCCATCAGTGGCTATTAACCACAAGGTATAGATAGGGGCTCTGGGGCAAGTGATGCTCTGTCTTCTTGGTGCTTGGGGGGGTCAACAGTGGGAGGGCTTCTAATGTCCTGGCCCCACTGGTGGACCTCCTGATGGCACTGGTATTTCTGGCCACTGTGTGACACAGAGTGTTGGACTGGATGGGCCTTTGGCCTGATCCAACATTGGCGTCTCTTATGTTCTTATGTTCTTAACTTTGTCCAGAAATGTAAAAAAGAAATAGTGGAATTTTTCAAGATAAATAATAAATCAGACACCCCTAAGGAAATTATATGGGATGCTTTTAAAGCATATATAAGAGGGAGATTTACTAGTCAAAATATATGGAAAAATAAGCAGAAGAAAAAAGAATACGATAATCTAACTCAACAAATTAAAACGCAAGAAACTAATATGAAAAATGCCAGAAGTAGTTGTAATGCCAAAATTAAATTAAATTTTCTCCATCATAAGTTGAACATATTACTAAATTTTGAAATACAACAAAAAATTGAATACACAAAACAATTTTATTTTGAAAATATAAATAAACCTAATAGGTGGCTAGCGTATAAAGTAAGGAAAGAAAGGACAAAACGTACGATAGTTAAACTATGTAATGATAAAAATGAAGAGCAGTTGAACATACAGGAGTTGAAATTAATAGTAGAGAATTTTTATAAAAAACTATACGGATGTGAGCGGCAAGATGAGGAAACAATTAAAAATTACCTGAAGGAAGACAAGAATATATTTAACGAGCAACAGAGAGAGATTCTGAACGAGCCAATAACAATGTTTGAGCTGATGGAATCAATTAAAAAACAGGAAAAAAAATAAGGCGCTAGGCCCAGATGGGATTCCGGCGGAGTTCTATAAAATTTTTGAGGAAGAAATATGTCAAGTGTTTAAAGATATTCTCCAGAGAATAGGGACATTGGAAAGGATTCCGGAGTCATGGAACCATGCTTTATTAACGTTAATACCCAAGTCCAACTCAGATCTAAGTGATGTTAACTATAGACCCATCTCATTGTTAAATGCCGACTACAAAATATTTGCAGGGATTCTGGCAAATAGATTGAAAAGGGTACTTTCACAAATAATACATCAAGACCAGATGGGCTTCCTGCCCAAAAGACAAATGAGGAATAACATACGATCAATTATAGATGTCTTGGAATATTACAAGGAACGCCCGGATAAAGAGGTGGTTCTTAGACGCTGAAAAGGCCTTTGATAACTTGTCATGGGAATTTTTACTCCAAAAATTAAAAAGAGCAGGGTGCGGGTTGTATTTCCATAAAATGGTTAAATCCCTATACTCAACACAATATGCTAAAGTAATAGTGAATGGAGATTTAACTAATAATATAAAAATTCAAAAAGGATCAAGGCAGGGGTGTCCTATGTCACCCCTGCTGTTCATATTCGCTCTAGAATCTCTGACAGATAGGGTAAGGACTAATAATTTGATTGAAGGCCTAAAAATAAAAGAAGAAACATATAAGTTATTAGCATTTGCGGACGATCTAGTGTTTATTCTAGAGAATCAAAAAACATCAATAATACACTTAATGGACACGATTGTAGACTATGGACAAGCAGCCGGACTTAAAATAAATTATAAAAAGTCAAAGATGATATCAAAAAATTGTTTACCTAAAACGTTGCAAGAAATTAAAAAGGTAACGACTATGGAAATGGTTAGGAAAGTTAAATATCTTGGAGTAAACATCACAAATAAAAGTAGTTCACTGGAAGAGGACAACTATAAGGAATTATTGATAGAAATAACAAAAGATTTGTCAAAATGGAAGACCATACCGTTGTCGTTTATGGGGAGAATCGCATTAATCAAAATGAATATACTACCAAGAGTCTTCTTCTTAGCTCAAAGTATACCGATATTAAAAAAACAGAATTTCTTTGAAGAGCTAAATAAAATCACGAGACAGTTTATCTGGCTGCACAAAAAGGCGAGGATTAAATGGAAAACACTGCAGAACAGAAAAGAAGGAGGAGGACTATCTGTACCCAACTGGTATATATATTACCAGGCGGCAGCCCTAGTCTGGATCAGAGAATGGATTACCTTGGAAAATAGGAGGCTACTCTTACTGGAGGGCCATGATCTAGCAATGGGGTGGCACGCATATACATGGTATGGTAAGGATAAAATACATACAAACTTCAATAAACACTGGTTAAGAGGCGCCCTAAATAAAGCCTGGAGTAAAATCAAGGAGAAATTCTATAAGAAAACTCCAAGGTGGGTTTCACCCATGGAGGCATTTACTCAACCGGCCCTATTAACGGCAAATAAAAAACTAACATATCAGACATTACTAAATAAAGAAAATAAATTAATAATAGAGGAGAAGTTGTTAAGAGATAATATAATATCTTGGTGGGAGAAGATAATGTTACAAGACAGATTTAAAAAAGATATGGTGAGAGGCTTTGAAGGTAGTAATAAAGAGCTAGATAAAATTTGGTTGTCCACAAGCGATAAATTAATACAGAAACTGTATCGGTTTCTGTTGGATGACTTTGAAAAAGATGAGGAGGTGAAAAATGTGATGAATAAATGGATGAAAGATATAGGGAAACAGATTGACTTAGAGAGATGGTCTAAAACATGGGACTCGCTCAAGTATATGTGAGCCATTGCCTACAAAGAGAATGTTTATAAAATGATTCATAGATGGCATTGGTCCCCGGAGAAAATAGCCAAATGCTATTCCGGATACTCTAGTTAGTGTTGGAAATGTAAGGCCAGCATAGGGACTTTCTTTCACATGTGGTGGACATGTAGTAGAGTTCAGGAGTACTGGGAAATGGTGAGAAGACTGATACAAGAAAACATGTGCAAAAACTTAGCATTGGATCCGGAGATATACTTGTTAAATATGGTACCTAAGGGGTATGGACAGCAGGACAGATATGTAATAGTATATATTATAACTGCAGCCCGTTTATTACTGGTCAAGAACTGGAAAATAGACATAATACCTAAGAAGGAAGAATTAGTTGCAAAGGTGCTAGATCTAGCATAGATGGACGATCTAAGCCTAAAGTTGCAGAATAGGTATGGAAAAGTGTATAAGAAAAGATGGGTTAAGGTGTATGAATGGATAGAGACATTGAATGTATGAGACTCTACAATATATATTATATATGCATTGGAATGTTAATTACTGTAAAACCAAATAAAAATATTTATATATATATAAAAAAGATAAAATGTGACAAGTTACATGGGTAAGCAACTTTTAGCTAGTGATAGTTTCTTTATGCTTGGTCAATGTAGTGGTTATTGTGTTTCGTTGTATATATTTTGTCTTCTAGAATACAAGGGTACAGTCCCAGTTTAAATCACTGTTGTAACTCAACATATATTGACTACATCTGAATGTATGAAAAAAGCACTCAATGCAGGAGATTCAAGTTTTCATTGTCAAGATCTAGATTTATTTTATTTAAATATCTGTTATTGATGTCCAGTCTTATTAAATGTGGAGCTGCGGTGGCTCAAGTAGTTAAGACACTGAACTGCAGACTGTGGAAGGTCAGTAGTACAGCAGTTCGAGAACCGGGTGCCGC